ACTTCTGTAGCTGATTTTTCTCTTGTTACATTTCAAAGCAGAATGCTTGATTATAGTTTTAAACTTTCTGATTTTTCTGCAGATTTCTTACGGAAAAATAGAGATTTATCTCTCTTAAAGGGCTCCCCATAGCCCCCCACCATCACAACTATGCTTTCCTGACTTCTCAACCCAGATATATCACCGTCACATCATAGTGAGTGCTCACATTAGTGTCTACATAGCGATGCTCATCTGAGACAAAAAGTGTATTACAAGTATTAATAATCTTCTCAACTTTTAACTTTTCCCTAGAGCAACTTAAGGTTTTCCGCGCAACAGTCATTCATTCCAGACTCCCATCAGAACTGCCGACATGTCAGTCTATCAGGGCTCTTTGTTGTTGCTGAGATATTCTTTCAGGAACTTTTTCTCCCACTAGAATTTGGTTGGTGGGTTTCTGGGCCTGCTGGGTAGCTGTTTTCCTGAAGCTTTCCTTTCCCAGAATCCATCAGTTAACTTTTTACATTGACAGGGGCTCTTTCTTATTATCTAAATGTTTTTTTTTCTATTATAGCGACTACTATAGGCAAGACTTTTCAAACCGTCTACTTCATGGATGCCATAACTGTTAATATTTCCAAACAAACTATGGGGTTTTCTTCTGCTTCTTGGATGATTCTGGTTTCCTTAAAGTTCATTTTTTTCTTCCATTTTGTTCTGAGTGTCATTTTGAATGCTTTCCTTAGTGTCTGCTGATCTTGGCTATCTGTTCTTCTTTGGCAACAGGAAGCTTTGTGCAGTCTGGACCTCTCACAGGTGGACTTCACTCTTGGTTGAGAAGGTGGCCAGGTAGCTTTCTCGTGGGTGACTCCCAAATGCCATTATCTATGTGTCTTTTCACTTGGGTCAGTCAGTGTCAGTATTCTACTTGGGAACTATAAGCTTGGCTGCCAATACAGCATTCGTTGGAAAAATCCCTGGGCTGGGCTAACTCTGGGCACACAGCCACTATTCCTCCCCAAAGGCTGACATCCCTTTCCCGCTACACATGGTGACAATTGGCTAGTGCAGGCATTTGGGTGCAGTCCACCTAGTTGTCCCTGCTGCCCCATAATCTGAACAATAACCTGGAGGATTGCTGTAAGACAACCACCTTCTCCTGTATCTCCTGACTTTAGGTATAGGGCACTGTCGCCTGTTAGAGCAATGCTCAGCAGGTTAGTTTATGCGCTGGTTTCCTTACGTAAGCTCCGTGCTTTTCAGAGGTAGCTCACATTTAGGGACTTGCAGGGTTTTTCCTTCTTCATGTTTTTCAGGGTGGATGTAGATTTTTAAAAACATTTTCTCTCTCATTTCTGAAATGTGCCGTAAGAGAGGAAAGCTGGACCCTCACCTTTCCTGATTCTATCTAGTTAGCCTCTTGACTAATCCAAAGTTGAACATTTTAACATTTTTTATTAATTGCGATTTCTTTTAGATTAATTGTATTTTTGCCCATCTTCATGTCAGGATATCTGTATTTAGGCTCTAATGTTATCAACATTAGCCTTCTATTTGTCATATTTGATGAAAATATTTTTCAGTCATTCCCTTTATTTTAGTTATCTTATTTTTCATGGTAATGAAGTTTCATATCTTGACATAATCAATTTTGTCAATATTTTCCTTTGTGGGAAGAGATTTGCAAATGTCTGATAAATTCACAATTTACTTTCTTTAGTTTTTCTTGTAATGTAGACTTTAAATATTTATTTTACTTATCTGGAAATTATTTTACAATTTTCTTATCAAGTATGAATCTATTTCCCCTCAGATTTCCAGATTAAGTAATTATCTTGATATTATTATATTTTAAAATGTTATCATCTCTCTTTATTATCCTATATTAAGTTCATTTGTAAATGTGCTCTGTTTTGCACTTTCTGCGCTTTCTGTTGATAAGTATCTTCTGTTTCATGCCCATAATCATTATATAGTAATCATTTCTATTTTTAATAATTCATTGATATATTTTTCTTTTTTTCAATTATTATTTAATGGTTTTCTGTTCATACAGTACATGAGTTAGGTTATAAAAATTAAAAGATGAACAAGACTTGTCCTTTGTCTTCAAGGAGTGCATAGCATTATAGGGTATGATCAGTTCATACTGAAGAGTTCTAAGAAGACTCCTTTGAGGGCTCAAGTCAGAAGGAAGGAATAAGCTGGAGAAGGAAAAATTTAAGCCAAGTCTTGATATATAGGCAGAACTCCATCAGAGCAATGAATAGATGAGCCAAAAGGAACCTATAAATGCCAAAAGATGTGGACAGGTGCACATAAAGGGATGGCTGGAGTGTGGGTGAGGGCAGAGAGAGTGGGCAAGTGTGAGGCTGGAGAGAGAAGTTAGAACAGCACTCTTTGATAGTTCTAGTTGAATTTTGTAATAATTTAATAAAATTCACAATCACCCCTGTTACGCTCTAGATCAGGATAACATTAAATATGTCAAGTATGCCGTCAGTAAGTGTTGAATTGAACCAAACTTTTAAATAGCCATTTGTTGAAGAACAGGGTAGGTAAAGAGTAACATAAGCTAGTTCTTTAACTGTGTCAATAAAATTAACACTGTAGTAAATTCAAGATGTGAGTTCCTTTTCAAAGTTAAAACTCAAGGAAGGAAGGCTACCCTCATGAAGAAAGATCAGCCAGCTTTAAGACAGGGAACATCAAATCAATTGCCCTGATTTTATTGGCTCTGTAATTCTCATTAGTCTGTAGTCTGCTACAGAAACAGGGATAAATTCCACTGGCCGGCAGAGCCCTCTGAATAAGAGCCGTTTTGCACAGCAATAAGGAAGGAATGAGAGCAGGAAGGGGGACAAGCAGAAGTAGACCCACTGCTCTAGAACTGTGGTGGTGGAATGAGAAACTGGAATGTAGCTCTGGGAACAGTATAGGTATATGAAGAGTTTTCTCTTAAGTTCTAACCATGTCAAAAGGGAATAATTCAGTAGAAATGGAAAGGTTAAATGTCTTAAAGAGGGGAGACCCACTTTGAATATGAGTTCCTTAGAACGTGAAAAGGTTTGTTTTAAGACACTCAGGGAAAGGGGGCACTTCTTCCTTTTAGAATTGCTACAAGCCTAAAATTAGAAGTTGTAAAGAAAGAGATGTTGAGGGACAGATGCAGAGAGCTGGACAACTTACATTGATGGCTTTAATTTTCTAAATCAATATAACCTCTGGACACCTGCATCAGAATTGCCAGGGAGTGCTGGATAAAAATTCAGCAACCTAGTTCACTCTCATTAGAACCAGAGTTTGAGAACTGCAGTTTAAACGAAGGGGGAGGCTGTCTGTAGGGTGTGTCTGCCTGACTGGGAAAGCATTAGTGTATTAGGAAGAGAGCAGAAAATATGGGTAGGCAATGGACAAAGTAGAAGAATTACTGAGCAGAGGAGTCTTTCGCAGTTGGGAAGCAGGGATTTGTATTGGTTATTTAACCATAACCATGACCATATATGCTTCCATGGCTTCTTCCAGGGTAAAGTGATTCTACTAAAACCCTGTTACCACTTTTTCTGTTTGTTAGAGCCCAGAGAGAAATGCTACAGCAGGCTGCTGAGTCAAGAACATGAAGAAAACTTGAGCAATTTCCCTTATGTTGGTCATGAGAAACACACCTTTCTTTGGCAGGTGGAGTTAATAACACTGACTGCTACGTAAAATTCTGTAGATTTGCTTATTCAGAATTTTAGTTTCACATATTTATAATGAGCCCACCAACACGTCAGGCTCAATTCCATCCCTAGATGCTACTGTTCTCCCTGCACGCAACCTGGTCTGCAGGCTGCCAGTGTGACCTTTCCCGGGATCACCAGGGTTACCTTTTTTGACACAGATCAACAAGCAAACCAATGAAGACATATTTATAACCAAACAGTGGGTAAGGTTCCCTGTCATCACAGAGTGAAGTCAAGACAAATGAGAGACACTCAAAGGGTTTTGCCACAGGCCTGGTCTTCCACCCCTGCCTCTGCTGTTCCTGCCTCGCCCGTTCCAGGGACCCTGCATCCTCACGACCGTTTCAGTCCACTGGGCACTTGCCTGGGCTCCGAGTGGTGCCCCTCCTAGTTTAGTTGCTGTTTTCCCTGTTGTTTTCCGAAGAAGGTGTAGTTCAGTGTCATTCATCCCCTCTCTGTAACTTTCTTCTCCCAAGGCAAAATTCATTCTTTTTTCATCTGGATTCCATAGTACTTTACACAAATATCAACTGCTGAATTTAAAACATTATGTTGTACTCATTTATGGTTCTGTTTGTACAACTGGACTTGAATTTCTTGAAATTGGGTCATTACATTTTTAATTCCCCAGTGCCTGACGTAGAGGATGTATACCATCAATTTTAGTTGAATACATTGGAACCAGAGATCCTCAATGTAACCCAAACTAAAATAACACAGGAAAGTAGAGTTCTTTGGAGCAGACAATATGAGCAACTCTCAGCATCATTTTGTAATAATAGTCTTTCTTTTTCCATCCAATAGTTATTATATACCAGTGGGTTAATCTGAATACTTACCAAATCATAGAGTATTGATGGGAAGAAGTATCTTAGAAGTGGCTCCTTTGATTTGCAGATGAAGAAGCCAGTCTTATGCTTATGTCAGGCCACCCAAGTAGCTTTTATCAAAACCCCATCAGCCAACCAACAGCCTTTGTGAACTCAAGAGTATTAAGCCATTTGTACATTCCAAGAAAATAAATTCTGGAAGAAAGCAAAATGAACAATGCATTTTAGTTCAGAGAGAATTCCATTAAGTGTTGAGCTGAGTTTAAGATGCTGAAGGAGGGGGAAAGCCAGGCTACTGGATGAGAGGTAATGGGTAAGTTCAAGAAGGACATTAAAGAGAAGTGAAGTGTTTTTGTTTTTCACTGAAACGATGTGAGCTATGGGTCATCAGAAGAACAGCAGAGTAGGTTTTGATGAGGTTCTTTTCTCCAGGTTTAATTGAGCCTCTTATCCTGTTCAATAGGTTTCAGAACCTGCTGTGGTCCAGGAAGACATTTGTGGACAACATGAAAATCTATAACCACAGTTACATCTACATGCCCGCCTTTTCTATGAAGACAGGAACAGAACCATCCCTCCGGGTTTACTATACACTGTCAGATGTCGGTGCCAATCAAACAGTGCTCTTTGCCAACCCCAACTTTCTGCGTAGCATTGGGAAGTTCTGGAAAAGTAGGGGAATCCATGCCAAGCGCCTGTCCACAGGACTCTTCCTGGTGAGTGCAGCCCTGGGCCTCTGTGAAGAGGTGTCCATCTATGGCTTCTGGCCCTTCTCTGTGAATATGCATGACCAGCCCCTCAGCCACCATTACTATGATAACGTCTTGCCCTTTTCTGGCTTCCATGCCATGCCAGAGGAATTTCTCCAGCTCTGGTATCTTCATAAAATCGGTGCGCTGAGAATGCAGCTAGACCCGTGTGAGGGCACCTCACTCCAGCCCACTTCCTAGGGACCACGGAGAAAGAAAGAACTGAGCCGGGGCATTTTTGTTAGGTTTTCTACATGACTCCAAAAGGAAATGGTCAAGTCATTTCATGTATTTGCATGGACCACTTGGAAAACGGAAACAATGAAAACCCAAGGAGAATTCTACTTTTAATGTTAGCTTGGAGGACAAATAAGAAATGCACGTCCTGTGAAATATTTTATAGCACATGTGGATTTGCAACGAGTAACACACGGATGAAGTGATGTTGGCAAAGCACATTGACATGATTTAAATCTAGAAGGTACAGTTCACGGACAAGTTGGACCTCTGGTGGAAGCTGAGAAATTAATCAAGGTGGAAAAAATGAAATGCCAGGCCAAAGTGTTACTGATTATCAATACAAACTGGCTTCATAAAAAAACCTGTCTTACTAAGAGTGACATTAGAACCATAGGGTTTTAAAAATTATTATCGATTTTTGCCCTATTTAGGGGCAGTGAGTTGGGTGATGGGTAGATTAAAAATTCCCTTATTGAATAATAAGGATACAAAACACTGCAATTGATTATTGTGATTTGTTAAACCAAGTCTATGTTAACTAAAGTCCCCCTCTATTTAAAAAATGTTAAATAAGAATTGCCTCCTCCCCTTTCGTCAAGTCTACTTAGACAATGTGAAGTATTGTTGAATTTAGACTGTGTTGATTCATAGTCTAGATAACATGAGCCACTTTTCCTCCTCCTCAGAATTTCGGGCATAAACCAAATTTTAAGTCTGCATTATGTAAGACTATTTGCATCATCATTATTATTTTAGTGCAAAAAAAGTACAAATGTCAGTGCAAATTTATTTATTTACAAATTAGCAAAGCTGTCTTCATAATTTAATGTTCAGAGATGAAGTAAAGCACAGTGAAATAAAGGTTTAGGTTCTGGATGACAGACCAGAAGACACATCCCCGTTCTATCTACCAAGGTATATTCACTCCAAGATAAAGCATATGCATCCACACATATAAGCAAGCATATGCTCATGCACACACCCACACATATATGTACACACAGGTAAACAAAGCTCATTCCCATGCAGCTACAAAAGCCGAATCCACATATCCTGGCATGGCAAAGATCTATAACCCGTGTTGGAGAGCTTCAAATGTGCTACCCGCTACAGCTTGATACAAGACAGCCAGCTTATTGGTTGCTGCTCACAATGCTCAAACCAGCATGAGTTGCGAACTTCACCCCCATAGGCTTACCCAAAATGAGCAGAATTGTTTTATTTATTTTAACTCACCCCAACATCTCACGAATGGACCTGTGTTGAGCATGGTCACACAAGTAAAGGGATGTGAATTACTAGTTATTCTCTCGATAGCAGGTAAGACTACTTAGGAAGCTTGTTACATCAGCTTTGACATGCTGCAAACCAACTCTACTGGCAAGATTACAAGCAGCCAAATATGTTTATATATAAGAGAAAGGTGAAGGAAGCTTCTCATTGTCTTTTTGCTTTGGAATGCCTTAATCTGAAAGATGACACTAGAAATCACTAAGTGTGATGAAAATGTAGGTAAACAATGTCAAGAAGTTCTACTCCATGTGTAATGGTAGAAACTTGGTATACCATATTTAAACAGGTGGCAGTTTTTGGTATGTTCACTTAAAAGAGAGACAATAAAGCACTGGGAGAATTCACCATTGTTAATAGGGCAGTTTCTAAATAGCATTGAACATTGAAGTTACTATAGAAATAAACAGTTGAAATATGACTGGTTGACATAACACAGATTATACTGGTACTTAGAAAGTTAAGAATTTGAGAGGATCAATTCTGTGCAGTTCTGATTTGCTATTTTGATCTTAAATGGCAGCAGAAATGGAATGAGAATGTACTGTGAGCCATGCTCCATATTCGCTGTATGTGCAACCCTGAATATATTTACTCTAGAGTTATTATTTAATAATTACATTAAAAAGGAATACATTTTTACCTACACAGTTCATCAAAAATGTGAAGGGCTAAGGAAAAACTCATATAAACATTAATAAAATATGTGTGACTCACATTAGTGCTTTAATTGTTAAAATTGTTAAAACATAACTTACGATCTCCATAAAGCCCTTGCATCAGAGTTCTAGTGAAAATGTGCTCTGAGAATTTTATATCTTCTTAGGATGTATATTTTACATTCTTCTTAGGATCCTGGGATAGATTTATGCAGTTGGTTTGTGTAGTGTTTAGTCTATAAATTTGTGGCTTCTGAAAGGCTACACAGAAATGGCCCAAACTGATACATTTAATGAGTTAGAACACTGCTTCTCAACATGGAGTTGGGGGAATTCTCCTGTCTGATGACATTTGGTGATGTCTGGAGACATTCTTGATTGTCATGATTTGGAGTGGACAGAGGCCAGGGATTCTGCTAAACAGTACACCCTGTTAAACAGAGGACATCCTGTTCACCACCCACAGCAGCAAAGACTTACCCAGGCTAAAATGTCAGTAGTACCAAGACAGAGAATCCCTGGATTAGACCAAAATGATGTTTAAACTCTTCCATATTGTCTTTAGTTAAGTACACATGTTCATGCTCATGTCATTCAAAGTATGACTACAATTTAATAATTGTTTTCTTAGAGTAGATTATACGTAGTCCCTTTCTGTGGTTAGGTAGATGCATCTAAGCCTAGGAGTGGGAGGGGTTTGCTTGTGTGTGTGTGTGTGTGTGTGTGTGTGTGTGTGTGTGTGTGTGTGTGTGTGTTTTGTGTGTGCGTAGCATAAAATTTTGCATATGTATCCTTATTGATACATGTGTTTTTAAGTGAGGCTCTCTCTAGAATTATCTTACAAAATACTCTGAAATACTCTATCACTATTAAGGAGTTGAATTCTTAACACTTATTATTTTATTTTGTTTATCTGAAGTTCAGACCCTTCAGAATCGGGCCCCATATTTTGCCAAATTTGCTGAATTACATTTTAATATTGCTGATCCTTAAGATTAGTTCAGAAGACACTCAGGCTATGGTAGACACATTTAATTAAAAAAATATTTCAACGCTTGCAATGCATCTGTCGAGAGCAAGCACATCACCCTCCAAAATCAGCCTAATTTTTAAATCATTTTTTAGTGACAAAAATTAGCTTGCCCCATGAGGGCAAAAGAGGAGGGGGTGAAGAAACTGGAAATGGGTATCTGGTGCAACTTTTTTTTATTAGCTTCACTTTGAGAATTTCATTGCTGCCAAGGATGGTGAACAAGGATGTCCTCTGTTTAATTTTGACTACACTTCAGTAAAATTAAGATGGGTGACGGATGAAGTCATTCCATAAGAAAGAAAAGTAATTTCTAAATGAAAGAGTTTTGTATGGAAGAGGACACTGGATATATATCCTTTATAGAGAGCATCTGGCCAACAGTATATATAATGCTGTGCATCTCAGCTGCAATTAACACAGCAAATCAAGGAGTGCTCCCTGGATTTTGTTTCTGTATTGTTCATTTTTTAGCTATTTAAACAAGGGCAAATGATTCAAATGATCTAAAATGGCAGATGATCAGATAATACCTTGGTTTGGCTTTGTGATGTGTGTACCCTTCTTATAGCTAAAAACTTGGTTTAGGTTAAATATAATGTGCCTAAGTAATGGGCAGCATGGCTAAAAAAATCCACATGGGAAGTAGCAAGAGATCCCAGGATTCTGAATCTGCTAAAATTTTCTTAGATTATTCAAAAGCTTTATGAGAGTGTAATAGATGGTTCCAAGTGGAAACAATATCAAAAAAATTTCTTCTTATCAGCAACTATGATAATTTTGTATTCTTGTTATATTTCTTTTTTTGGAAAAAGCCATCTGTAGTTTTCATTTCTGTTTAAAAATGATTTTGTGAAATTTAATTGACAAATCTTTGTCAGAAGGGACCTAAGAGGAAAAAATTACACAGTCCACTCAAAACTTTAAGAATTCTTATTGTGCTGTATAAACTTTCCCACCAGGACCAGGTAATATCTGCTCTGTTTTTAGAGTTGCAAAGATCACGATCTTTAAGAACTTTGTGGGAACTTGAGAAAAAGTATATAGAGGAATGGGGCCTGAGAGCAGTACTGTGCTTTACTCTGCTTTTATTTCTTTATCTTCCCAGTGTAGAGCTCGACTCTCAGATTACAGGACTTTGGGTGGACACACATCAGGGATGGAAGTGGATAAACAACTCCGAGTCACTAGCACCTTAGGTTAAGCCCTAACAAGGTCAGCAGGAACCATAACCAAATATGACGAGTGATTTCAGCAACTCCCATCTCTTGTGTGCTAGGGGCAGGATGAGGCAAGCAGACAGGAGGAAGCGGCCCCACTTCCCAGGGTGTCGGTATGCAGAGTCAGAGATGCCTTTTCCCTTGACCTTGGCTTTCCGGCACTATCTCTGTCCACTACCAAGGAAGCTCGCCTGGCGCTGGGGTCGAGCTAGCGGCCTTGTGGCTAGAGAGAGTGGGTGTGGAAATTTGCTGAGAAGCTTAAAATTTTACACTGCCTTAAACATTTTTTTTTCTTCTTAACGGGTGCTCTCCAAATTTAGGTGTCCTGTGACAGAATTCTGGACACCCTGACCTAATTATGTCCCTGCTGGCAATAATTAAAAATGGGGCTTTTTCCTGACTCAGATGGATTTTTCTGAGTCCTTAAAGCTAGGAAGATATAAAATATTCCACCGGTTCCCTTATAGCCCCTTTAAAGCCCTGGAGATCACTTAGGAAGAGGGATCCGGAAGCCTGGAGTGTCTGTTGAAAACTCCTCACTATGAGGCCACAATATTTAGGTTGTGCACTATAAAATTACTACTATGTAAGTGGGAGGAGACTTACCTGAATCTACAACTGCCTTTTCTCCTTCTATCAGATGGAAATGGATACTGTTGGCTTTACCCTCAGCCTGGGCTTGTCATTTGGATTTTTTACATAGATCCTAGAGGTTGGAAACGGAAACGAGTCCATGAATGGAAAGCCTGTCCAAACATTACCTCTGCTCATTCCAATAAGGAAAAACATGCTTCTGTTTTCTTTCTCTGATTTTCTTCTTTCCAGTGCCAGCATTTCTGATTTCTTCTGTCTCCTAACAAATAAGGAACAAGTAACTTACTATAAATTGATTGAGAATGCATGTGAGATAACCGAAGCCCACGGCTGTATCTTTTTTAAAATACAAAGGAAGAATTTATATTTTGTTTACGGTCACTCATTTACCTACCTCCTCTGTGTTTTTATTGATCTCTATTTTATGCTAAAATCCTTTCTAATTTTGCTTTCCTGTGAAAGCTGTGGGATATAATCAATGATGCAAAGCTGTCTGGGAGTTTTATGGAATAGTATCCAAATATATTGATCATGTCCCTTTTGTTCCTATGTAATTAGATTTTCTCCAGATACTTGTCATAGTACGACATCTGACATGTCATTTTCATTTAAAAGTCGTTGTATGTTTCACACGGTACCAATAAACAGCTTAATAGATGTGATTTTATCTAGGGCAGAGACCTCGGGAGTAAGATAAGTGTGTTTTTCTCCACACAGTAAGAAAAGTGGAGAATTGTAATAGAAAATGGTTTAACCAACATAAAAAAGAGAGAGAGAAAAAAAGGGTCTTAGTTGTGAAGGGCTGTCGGGAGGGGTCTGAGGATGCAGCTAAGCAGAGAGCACAGGCTGTTTTCCTTGCCTGCAGTTCCAAGAATAGAACCTTTTCAAAACATTTTAAAGGAAATGTATGGTCATATAGTTGTGGCTCACAAAGAAAAGGCAAGGAAGGAAGCAGTGTGGGGGCCAGGCTGTGAGACACCGAGGGGAAAAAAATCAGAAGCTTGACAACTGCGTGGACCTGCACGGTCCACACGGGTCGCCCTCTCTGCCCCTCTCCAAGTTGTGCTTTTGTCTCTGCCTGAGCCCAGATACGCACACACTCCCACGTCCACTTTTACACATACTTCCAAAATAAGATGATTTAGATTTCCTTCCACCAGGAGGCAACCACAGTCAGAAGTGTCACTTGAACTTGACCCTTTGAGCCATGGTCACCACATGCTATGCATGGTGAGAGCTAGGAAGCTTTAGTCCCCTGCTCACAGTGACTTCAGTGACAGGCTTTTATTAAGCAGACTAAGGTGTGTTTTCTCCCCACGTGTTCTAGTGTGAACACACACATGCGTGCGCACAGACTCCTTGCATTATTTATACCCACTGAAAGGAGAAAGACGGCTGAGCAGGTAGAGGGTCGCAAAGGGTGCCTTAACTTTTCCTGGCTCGGCTCCCACTTCTTATGCATTTCCTTCATGTAGCCCTGTCATTTTAGAGGTGTGACCGTGCCTGTTCCAAGCTGTATCTTTATCATCAGCAAGAATTCTTATAAATGTAGTAAATGTGACTATTTTGTATAAACGCACAATAGTAGATAGGCCTTGGAGACCTCTGATAACAGAATGTAAATATCCTTTGTTGAAGTAGTAGAACCTTCCCACAGGGAGCAGCTTAGGTTAGCGGCAGGAGGATGCCGAGATTGAACATGTTTGTTTCTCCAGTGAATTCTAGAATTCATGGAAGCAAGGAGATGATTTTGTTTCTGTTTCTTATTCATTGTTAAGCATTGATCCTTTGGGGTTTCTTGTTAGTAGGGTACTATAGACATCCCTCCTATAATATACTGAATTCACAATTTGAGAGGATTGGTGGCCCTGGGGCTACCTCAGAGTCAGAGACACTAGAAGGAAGGGGAGAGAACAGACTAGAACAGGTCCATTGAAACGCTTGCCTAGGATTTAAAAAGAATCAGCAACATTACTAGAGCTCTAGTTACCATACAGCACAACTGGTCTGAAAAGCTTTGAGAAAGAAAGTTGCTCTTTGATTTATTTAACTTGATTCCTCACATTATGTATTACTTCATGTGGTGCAAGCTGTTTTTTTAAGAGCAAATTTGCAAAGGCTGGAGGTAAGAGGTGAATAGGAAACCTCAAATACTCTTCCTTATATAGTACTGACTACCAGCGCATGGATGCAATAATTCTGATAAAGATTTTTAGATTAGACTATAAAATTGAAACCACCTTTGAAATGTACATGGGATTACTTCTTCCTCATAAAGTCAAACTCCACTGGCAAGAGGGAAAATCAATGCTCTTCATTTCCTTCTTTAAATTTCATATAAAATGTAGCAGGTAAAAAAAAAATCCAATTGGTTCTTTTTATAGTGTGACTTCAAAAAAACTCTATCTCTGTTGGGAACTGCTGAGTTGTTTCTTTCCACAGACTCTAACCGCAATGTCCTAGGAGGAGGTTTGCTGTAAAAACATGTCTTTTTCTTTAGTGTGTTCATTGTAATTATGCCTGGTAGTGAGCAGGTTCCGTAAGTCTCAATTTCTCTACCTCCCTTACTTGGAGAATATTTGGAAATGTACCCTGTGAATAAATGATTTTTTTTATAGCTTGTCAAGTCTTTTTGTTTCCCAGAAGCAGATGGGTAATTATATTCCTTTTCTATTCCTCTATTTTGTATCCATATCCCCCACACCGATTTTTTTTTTCTTCCAGATGAAAATTCATACTGCTTAGGGAGAAAATTATTTTAGAAATACAGAATTATAAATGCTATGAATAGAATATAACAACACGATTGGTGCCTCTTATGCGAGTGAAAGGCATTATCTATTGGACAAAGTAAAGTAGAAAGAAAATCAAGTGTTTATTTAATATGATATATGCACACAAGCATGCTTTTTCAGCAATACGATTTGCCTTTATACAATGGGTCTGTGTCAGCATGTGTGTCCTAAAGAGACTTTAATACATCTCTTACAAGATTTAAAATACTTAGATTCCCTCCCGTTCATATGAGTGACTTTGACAAGGTCAAGTGTGCGTTCTCGTCTGAATTATTCAGATAATTGCTTCAAAGTCCCATTTCCCTGGGGCTCTGGTGGCCTAGTTCTGGAAAGGACATCAGGAAAAGTGACCTTGTTCTATCCTTTATCATATATTTCTCCTCAGAAATTGATTGAGATGCTTTCTGAACATCTCCTTATTAATTCTCTGACTTCATTCTCATATAACAGCCTTTTGGACTGCAGCTATTTTAGGAAAGGATAATTCTATTACCTAATGTTAAATCTTCATGATGTTTAGCTGAATCATCTGGGGGGGTGGGGGAAGGCAGAGCGCTAATATAAATGTGGGTTACCCTAACCTATTCTTGGACCATATGAGGAAAACAGATTTAACTGGTTTTCACCAACTATCATTAAGTTAAAAAAAATCTAGAGACTACTGAATCCTGCTGTCCTACTTTGTTTCGATTTAAACATCCAAAAACAGATATTACAAATCCAAAGGCATTAATTACTCAAGAATTCCTAAACCTAAAAGGAGGGTAATTACAAGTCACAGACTGCATTTTTGCTTGGAAACTTATTATTTTGGATATACGTCAGATTCTTGATGGTATGAAGAACTAATGCTGTCGGATGATTCAACTGAATCTTGCGAAGTTCACTGTGAATGATCAGAGACCATGGGATGAAACTGAGGCCATATCTAATTATGCTTAACATTTATAATTCTAAGACATCTAGTTACCGGGATTTTGAAAATGTGGAAAAACAAACCCTTTGTTAATCTCTTTTATGTAGAAAGAATGAAAATTATTTCTTCCTTCTGCAAGAGGTTTACAGACATGAATTCAAAAATCAGCCTCAATTTTTAGGTGCTTTTTCATGATAAACAATGCAATCAAAAGTTAGATTACAAGGCAATCAAGGGTTTATTGGTCTCCAGATAGACTTCAATCAAGATTTCAGCCTTTGTGTTGGAGGAAAAGAGGACAATAGGAATGTAGTATGGGTGTTGGTTCGGTGGGTTCATTAGAATCAGGTTCACACCGCGTGGATTCCTGGCTCCTGGGAAATGGTTTTTGACTGAGTGTTTGACACTGGCCTTTGCTATTACTGGGCCCTCAGCCATTGTGGATGCCAGTTTATTGATGATGCATAACCTCTATACCTGTTACCAAAACAATTTTGGATGGAAGCCTATAGAGAGAGTCATGGGGTAATTGAGAAAGATTAACTGCTATTCACTTAACAGAGTGTTTGGACCTCTTATAAAGGTTAAGAATAAGAACAGTTAACGCTGTGGCTTTCATTGCTTTCCACTATGAAGTGTGTAGCGTCCTGTTACCCTTAAAACGGATACTTATTCCAGATTTGCCTTTCCTGTCCTCAGGGCTTCCACCAGCGTACCATCTGTGAACTTTCAGAGTGATTTATTTACCATATTGGTATCCATACAACATGCATCATCCTTTTGACCAAGGGACGTATTTTACAGAGAAAGAAGTATAGAAAAAAATCCATGGAATTAATGAGGATTACTCTACCGTATTATGTAGCACATCCATTCTCAGTGGGAGCGATACTGTCGCCACAAGAGGCAAAGGTTGGTTCAAAGGAGAAAAAAAAAACCTTCGATAATACAGTGATTAGGGGGAAAAAATCTTGAAGTTTCCTTGGGAGCAGAGTGAGGGGTTAATGAAAAAAGAACTGCTGAATTAGAAAAACTTACAAAAAGTTGGCAGGGCCTAACAGGGACTCATTTTAAGGGCAATAGCTGAGAGATAATATCTTAGGAGTTGGTGGTGCCATCTTACAACATGTATGTTTTGGACAGTGAACAGTTTCTCCAGTACTTAGATGTTTAAATCATGCTTAGAATATATGGATCTGAATACCAAGGGATAAGAAGTAGGAATGGCTCCCACAAACTGTGATATGTTTTTCTTTTATTATTTAATTCAAATGATTTTCTAATTACCTTGCCATACTTCTGTGGTGTTTTTAGAAGTATATATTTTAATTTCCAAATACAAGGAAGATTTATTAGTGTCTTTTTGTTCTTTCTAACTCTGTCATGATCACATAATACACGATGTATGATTTTAATTTTTTGAAATTTATTGAGACTTGTCTTATGGTCCAGCTTCCTTGAGGACTTCAAAAGGATGTACATTCTACAGTTGTCGGCAGGAGAGTATTAAAAATATTTATTAGGTCAAGTATATCTTCACTGACATTTTATGTATTTCTCTGTCAATTACAGAAAATGAAGAGTTGAAGTCTCTGAGTATGATATACCCATTGTTCCTTTAGTTCTATAAATTTTAGCTTTATGTACTTTGTAGTTCTTTTATAAACTACATACACTAAGGAGTCTGACTCCAGGCCAAACAACAACATGTCATCTTCATGCCCAACCGCAGGCAATGACAAGGCTTTGTCCTGCAGGCCTCAGAGGAAGAAGCTGTCCTTTCCACGCCAAGATGTGTACACAGTCAATGCATCGGTTTTCTGGAGTGAGACCGCAGTCAAGGACTCAGGACCCCCTGGGACAGCCATTCTCATATGCCCATCTTCATTCCTAGCCTAGCACTTTCCTTTTTGAACACCTCCTTATTGAAAGTCTAGGCTGATCCGGAAAAATGAACCCCTTAGGAACTGACACCCGTGTTTCCTCTTGTTTAGGATTGACACAGTAAATGAATAAAAGCTGGACTGTTCCTTTCAATTTGGTGGATTGTCCTAATTCACCACCTCAAAACGTGATTGTTTGAAATACTCATTTAAGACTGTTGTATTTTCTTCCTGAATTGTCCTTTTTCCCTTATTGTCAAGTGTTAGAAACTGAAGGTCTGTGTCCCACCCAAATTCTTATGTTGAAACCTTCTGTCCAGTGTGCTGGTATTAGGAGGTGGGGCTTCTGAGAGGTAATTAGGATTAGAGGTCATGAGGGTGAAGCCCTCATGCATAGGATTAGGGCCCTTAAGAGAGACCAGAGAAGTGCTTCCTTTTTGCGCTCTCTGCCCTGTGAGGACACAACAAGACGCTGGAAGTCTGAAACCTGGAAGGGAGTCCTCACCGGAACTCAGCCACGCCGGCACCTTGGTCTAGTCATTCCAGCCCACAGAAATAGGAGAAATAAGCCTCTGTTGTTTATAAAGCCTCCCAGTGTATGGTACTTTGTTACAGCTTCCAAACTGTGTGAAGACGTCATGTATATTTCTGCGATATTTTTTTACAAACCCCACAGTACAATATTACTGTTTTTGCTTTAAATAGGCAGGTATCTTCCAAAGAAAGTAGGATATTAAAGTATCATTTTGGATACTCACCCCTACATACTATTTTCTTACTTCACAATCCTTGTAGAACTGGTGTCATTTCACAGCAGACTGATGAAATTCCATCAGCTTTTCTTGTAGTGCTGACAGTGAATTCTCTCAGGTTTTGTTTATCTGAATATGTCTATAGCTCATCTTCACTTTTAAAGCATGTGTTAACTGCATATAGGATTCCAGCTTGACAGTTTTTACTGTCACCATTTTACATGTGTCATTCCATTGTCTTCTGGTTTGCCTTATATTTGATGACGATTTTGCTTAAACATTTATCGTTGTCTTATATGTGACATTTTCTTTTGGTTCATCCTCCAACTTCCAACTTCTTTTAGTGTTTTTTTATCTTCTGCTTTCATGAATTTTGGATTTAGCAGTAGCAGAGTCCCCACTTCTAGGTATCCCCAGAATGTGCAAAAATACATGAGTTCTTGTGTTTCTCAGGTCCAGCTTAACTAACGTTTTCACATCAAAAATGGTTGTTGGTGGTTTAGTAGGGAGATATCAGGTCAAAAATGGTTTAGTAGGGAGATATCAGGTCAAGTAAATTATTGCTGCATCTGAGAATTTTTCTAGTCCCCTCTGCTCTGACTGCCAATAGTTTGACTGGTTTTTTATTATTATTTAATAAACAAGTTTCCCAAGATCTGTGTGGGAGATGAACATTACCTCAGTTAAAATGGAACTGGGCTGCTGATAAATTTTTAACAACTTTATTTAGGGAGAGTTTATGTATCATACAAGTTTTCCATGTAAATGTACAGTTTGATGATTTTTTTTTTAGGAAAATGAATAGTTGGGTGGGAAGTCATTACCAGAGTCCAGTTTTGTAGTAATTCTATCATTCCCCCAAAGTTTTCCATTTCTAGTTTATAGCAAACCCTACTCTCAGCCCTACTCCTGGATAACCAGGAATCTGCTTTCAGTCTCCATAGTTCTGCCTTTTCTGGAAACTGTATTTATGTGGAATAATACGATATGTGTCATCTGTGTCTGACTTCCTTCACTTAACAAAATATTTTCAAGGTTCATCTATGGCATTGCATGTATCAAAGTTTGTTGCTTTTTATTGCTGAATGATATTCCATCATATACATTTAATGTATTTTGCCTGCTAATTCAACAGTTGATGTACATTTGGATTGATTTAAGTGCTTGGCTGTTTTGAATAATGCTGCTGTAAACATTTGTGCACAAACTGCTGGTTCATGTAAGATTTCCTTCTAAGAAACTACTAAACAGTTTTTTCATAGTAGTTATATCAGTTTATACCATGCAACATAAATGTATGATTGTTTCTTCATATCCTCAACAACACTTGTTATTGTTGGTCTTTTTAAAAACATGCATCTTAGTGTGTAGTGATATCTCTTCAGAGTTTTAATTTTCGTATCCTTAATGGCTGATGATATTGTATACATTTTTGATGCTTAGTAGCCATTTATGTTTTGCCTTCAGTGAAATGTCCATTAAAATAGTTTACCTTGCATATGGGGACAGGATCCTCTTATTACTGAGTTCCTATATTTTTTAAATGTATTTTGTATGCATATAGTCCTTCATATATAATATTTACAACTTTTTTCCTTGTCTATAAGTTGTTTCTTCATTTTCTTGATGGTTCCCTTGAAAATAAAAAGATTTTATTTTGATGAAGTTCATTTATGTTTTTCTGTAGAGATGGTGCTTTTGATGTCATTTGCAAATAAAGATACAGGTAGTTCTTTCTTTTCAGTAAGTATGTCTTTAATTTCTTATTCTTGCTTTATTGAACTGGCTAGAACCACAAGTACAATATTGAGTAGAGTAGCATTGCTAAATATAGATGTCTTTTCCTTGTTCCTAATCTAAAGATAAAACATTTCATCTTTCTGGATTAATATGATGCTAGGTGTAGTTTTTGTATATGCCCTCAATCAGAATGAGAAATTTGATTTCTTCTCATAGGAAATTACTATGAATGACTCTTTGCTATTCACAAATGCATTTTTGTGTCTCTTTTGTAAGGATCATCTTTATTTTCCTTATTCTGTTAATGTGGCATACTAAATTAGTCTGTTAAAAGATAATTAAACCAATCTTGCATTACTGTGATAAACACCACTTTCTCATGTTGTTTAATGTTTTTAATGTGTTCCAGGATGTGGTTTGCTAAAATGTTTGTAAAGGTTTTATGTTTGTGCTCATGAGGAATATTGGTCTTTTTGCTTTCCTGTGATATCTTCGGCCCTAATATCAAATGAGTATGATATGTATGTTAATATACTGACTTCATATGATAAATTGGGGTATGTTTCTTTCTCTGCTTTCTAAAAGAATGTGTCTGGGATTTGTATAATTTCACTAAATTGTGGATAGAATTCATTAGTGATACCATCTGGGCCTTGGTGTTCCTTTATGGAAAGAATTTTAATTACTCATTCAAATTTCTTCCTTTAGGTCTGTCTATTCAGAACTTCCACAAGTCTGTTTTGTTAATTTGTGTAATTTTTCTACTTTATGGCATAAAATTGTTAATAATATTTTAGTATTGTTCTTTTCATTTCTCTAAGGTCTGCAGTGATGTCTAAGGTCTGCACTTTTATTTCTGAATGAATAGCTTATTTTTTTTTCCTTTATGATCAGTCTAGCGAAAGGTTAGCAATTGTTTTTCTCTTTGCAAAAAAGCAAACTTGGCTCTATAAATTCCTTTTTTAAATTTCCCTTCACTGGTTTCTGCTCTGAGCTCGATTATTTCTTTCTTTCTACTCTCAGTTTGCTTTGTTCGTGGAGGGGTAAAGATAAAATGATTACTTCCCTCTCTCAAATCAGGGGATTCTTTGAGGAGAAGATGGAATTCTGGTCGGCCCTTGGAAAGGAGGAGGAGGATTGTGTGTGGATGTAAGAAGAATAAGAGGTGATGGGGGTAGATATTCCAGGAAGACAGAGTAACACAAGCAAGGGCAGACAGGTGCAGGGTACACAGGAAACAATGGATAGTTCCTATTTTCTCTTTGTGAAATAGAGACCAAAGATATCAGCAATAAAAATTAAGTTAAACAGACTCATATCTCCAGTTAAAAGACAAATGCCCCACCTTTGGGGATGGATTTGTCAAATTGCAGTTTCATATAATTTTGCCAAACATATATTGAAGTTATGCTATTCTTTACATACAGTGTTAGA